TGGGAGGCAGAGCCTGAGCACAGGACACAGAGGGCCTCCCCAGTCTCCCGCTGGGCCTGGCCTGTGCGGGAGGGAGGTGGCGAGGGGGAAGACAGAAGGCGGGGGAGGAAGAGAGATGGCACCTCTTCCATCGGCAGGTATGTGGGCATCTGATGGCAGCCCCTCGCTAGGCTATGGGGCGGGGTGGAGGGAGGCACTCTCAACTGGAGTTCGTGTTTGTTTTACGGCTGCCGCCCAGGCCCGCACAAGCTGAGCATGGCTGGAACGCTGGTGGATGCCGATGCCTACAAGGGCCTACAGTGAGTAGCCCTCCAACTCCACCCTCCCTGGGGCTCCAGGGGCAGTCAGGGGATGAGACAAAGTAAGTCTGTGCTGGGAAGTGGGGGACAGTATGCTAAAAACACTAGTGGGCCCTGACACAGCATCGGTGTGCTCAGCTAAGGTGGTTTCTGGTTGTGTTTGCTTTCTTCATAATATAATTTCCCAAAGCTAGTCCCCAGAAAACAACAGCCCCTTACCAAGGAGCACTGTTAGGACAGGCGGGATGATTTCTAGAAGCAAAGCATTGCTCTCCTGCTCCCCCCTGTGCCCAAAGTGGACTTAGCCAGGCCCCCAGGCCCGGTACAGGGTGGACCCAGCCCAGCACCCTCCCTACCCGCGCCCCCCCCCAGGAGACCTCTTACGCAGTCTGTCGTCCATGTCCTTACTACCAACAGCACAAGTGCAAGCAGCCACCGGCCCACGGAGCCACCCTAGGCCCAAGAACCGAGGAGCACACACCAGGAGCACCTCGCTGGTGGAGAGGCCCTGGCTGAGACTGCACAAGGTGACCCACATCCCCTCGGCGACTCCTCCAAGGCCAGAGACTCTGGGAAGGACCCTGCCTGGTGACCGCAGGCTCAGTCCTCCATCACCTGGCCACTCCATTCCATTCCATTCCCTGTGTCCAGTGCCCTGTTCTGCCCCAACCTCTGTCTGCAGGCTGCACTCCGGTTGTGGGCCACACAGGTTAGTCCCTGCCACGTCCCAGCCTGGGTTGCACTTGCCTGACACTGAATGAGGCTCAATCCAACTCCCCATTAGCCCAGATGCCTTAGGCCCTACCCTAGGGGCATCTGTAGCTGAAGGTGGTAGGCAAGGCCGATTTCACAAGTGCCGGCTGGGGAGGGGGCACCTCTAGGCTCTCCACCCCATGACTGCTGCCCACCAGTCTCCAGCCTGACTCTGGGGCCCCGAGGCACAGCCAGGGACTGACCGATGCAGCCAAGCAGTGCTTGAAATGGTGACGGTCCCTCCACAGCCCAGGTGCTTCTGAATAAGAGCACCCTCACCCCCACCCTAGTTTCCATGCCCAGACCCCAGCTTCCAGCACAGCAGAAACACATCTCTGTGCTCTCAGGGTGTATGGCCTGCTCTGGCCCCACCCCTAACTCTGACCCCCCGCTTCTGTGGGGAATCTAGATCACCCCAGATTGCCCTGCAACCCAGACTGGCTGTACACCAATCTGTCCCTAGGCCCCACTCCAAGCTCGAGATTCCCCAAGAGCAACAGGCAGCCTCTTGGCTCTCTGGGTTCAGCCCCTGGGAAGTGGTCACACTGGATGCCACCCCTGCAGTGGCCCAGATGGAGCGTGTGACCCCAGCCTGTGGCCCATGTGCTTGGGACTCACCCCTTGGTTGCCCTGAAAGCGGATCGACGGTCTCGGTGTGACGGAGCCCTAGGAGAGAACAGAAGGGTGTCGTCAGCGTGACGTGGGGACAGCAGGATCAGAACCTCAGCGTGCCTCCAGCACATACAGTTGGGGCCCTGGGGCCGAGCTCCCATGGGGGTGGGGCTGGAATGGTGGGAGGTGGGGTGGGTCCTAGGTGCTGTGAGGGCAAGGCTACAACAACACACTGGCTCCAGTCAGGCCTCAATTGTCCCCCTGAACTTGGGGGAGGTAATGTCAGGGAACTAGCGGTCAGATGACTGAGCAGGGTGCTTGCTACCCTTGCCCTGGAGAAGTCAGCAGGGTCAGACCAAGTGTCTGCCACCTGCCCACCCCACACCAGTGCATCAGGGCAGTCTGTTCCTGTTCCTGCCGCGGGGGTGCTGGGGGCTGACAAATGTCAGAAGAGAACACCCCGAGAGCGACTGAGGGCACACATGCCCCACCTGAGGCCCCAGAGCCAAGCTCAAGGGCAGCTGCCCTGAACCTGAAGGGTCCCTGGCGTGGCTCAGAGGGCAAGCTGGGAGGCCCAGCCAGGCAGCCCTGGCCCCACATGGCAAAAACACAGATGTCAAAAAGGAGGTGTCAGCCGGCTGGCCGGCCAGGGCATGTAGCCAGATGCTCATGGCGCAGCCCTTCAGGGAGAAGCCACACCGTGGGCTCCAGCACTGCATCCACACCTGCACGTGAGAGCTGCAACAAGGCACAAGGAATCCTGGTGGCGCTGTGGACCCGGGTCCGGCTGCTAACCACAGGGTCAGCGGTTCACAGCCTCCCGCTGCTCGCAGGGAGAGACAGGCTATCTCCTCCCGACAGGCTCGGAAACCCTACACAGGGTCTAAGAGTCGGACTCGACTCGATGGGGTTTATTAGAACATGGTCTTCAGACACTGTCCAAAGCACACATCTGAGGCCACAAGGCTTAGGTGGTCCACAGGCCTAAGCCCAGGCGGCGGCTGCTCTGTAACCAGCTCACTTTTGAGCCTGGCATCTTGCGTACAGCGTCACATTGCTAAGGTGCCAGACTGCCCGACTCTTAGGGCTGAGCAGTACTCCAGGGCCAGAGGGGCCACACCGTCTCCCTCTGTCACCTGTCGTGGGACACGGGGCCCATTCCTTCACGGCCATGTGTGCTCGCCATAAGCTGCTTAGGGCCACCGCTCCCTGTTCAGCAGAGGATCAGGAGGGGCGTGAGAGAAGATGGTGAGACACACCGACAGCAGCAGAAGTGTAGGAGAGGCTCATTCTTGAAGGTGTGGGGACGACATGGAGGCCAAATCCATGTCACTGAGCTGCTTCCAACCCACAGCGACCCTACAAGAAAAGGTAGAACTGTCTCTGTGGGTTTCTGAGACTGTAATTCCTTACGAGAGTAGAAAGCCTGGTCTTTCTCCCAGAGGTGGGGACCAGGGAGGGCAATGTCCCTGGCAGAGGGAAGCAGGGTGGGGCGTGTTCTCCGGCCTGCTGCAGCACGGACAGTCCTGTCTAACTCCAGCGTCATCCACACATGGTAAAGAACAGGAGTGGGGGGTGGGGGGATAAGGTCGACCTCCAGGGATCTTGTCTCTCCCAGTGGGCTCAGCCACAAAAACACCACCAGACCAATGGCCACACACACCTTCACATTCCCCCAGAACAGCCTTCGACCCTGGCTCCTCAGAGGGTACCAGACAGACAGCTGGGTGTTGCTTACTAGTCATCGGTGGGGGACAGGGGACTCACCTTACCCAGGGTGGGGGCCAGTGGGCCGAAGTCGCACATCCCACTGGGGAGCCCTGGCCGCCAGCCGCCTGGCCGCTCTCCCACCCTTTCCAGTAAAGCACGCCTTTCTGGAACCCTCCCTAGGGCTCCCTGGCATGCTTCCCGCAGAACACGAGGGCACGCAGAGCTCGGACAAGCTGCCTGGGCCGCAAGGAGGAGAGGGGCAGCCCGGAATTGACACACGGAACACAGGGTCTCATCTGAGATGGATGTACAGACCCTGGGGCCCGCCTGGGACAGCCCGAGGTCCCAGGCAGGACAAGACCCTCAAACTGAAGCCCCGCCTGGAGAGGGGTGGTGGCCATAAGGGCGGTGATGCCTGTCCATGCAGACGGTTAAGGGCACGAGACACCATCACAGCTGTGTGCCCACCAGTGCCGGGCAGATGGGTGGGCGGCATGGGCTGAGGGAAAGCTCATTTTGAGGAAAGGGCCAGGCAAACACAAAAGAGCCCACAACTCCGTTGTCCGCCCACCTGCTCTGTGTGCCCACTCGTTGGCAGAATCCCTTTGGACAGTGTGAGCCCCTCACTTCTACCCACCTATTGGCATTCCCACCTTGACCCTCTGGTAACCTCTGGTCTGTTTTCTGTCCCTGTGGTTTGCCTTTTCCAGGAAGTCATCTCAACAGGCTCATGTTACATTGACTTCCTGTGGTGGCTGTGACAAATCCCTACACTGGGTGCTCGCTGTGGTCTGAGCTCAGGGTGTCTGCAGGCCGGCTTCCCCAGAGGCTCAAAGGAGGGCCATCCTCACTCCTCCCAGCTGCCTCTGTCCTCACATGGCGGCCATCTCCCCTGTCTGGTCTCCCTCTTATGAGGACCCTGAGATGCCACCGGGCCCACCCAGATGGTCCGGGATCCTCTGCCCATCTCAACCTCCTTCACTGCAACCATCTGTGAAGTCCCTTTCTCCACATCGTCACCTCTCCAGGCTGCTGGGGCCAGGACCCCGCACCATCTGCCAGGGTGCAGCCAAGTCCACATTGTGGGTCTGGGAGAAGCTGCATCCATTCCTCTCACAGCTCAGCAGCACCCCAGAAAACCAAACCAACTCCCCGAGTCCAGCCCGACTCCTGGTGCCCTCCTATGTCACAGCGCAGACAGCCCTGGGTGTTCTAGCTGTGATCTGTGGGAAGCAGACTGCTAGGCCTCTCTCTGGCGGTGCTGTCTGAACACAGCTGTCACGCAGGACGTGAGATGGCGTGTTGTTGGGGAACTAGCAGGACTGTGGGGTCATGACGTATTTCTCAATAAGATGACGAAGGTAGTGTAGGGCTGAGGACCGCTGGGGGCCATGAGTGGCCGTCACGTCAGCAGAAATCGGCAGCAGCTAATCAGCAAACGACCAGTGTGCACTGGGGAGCGAGCGGCCTTGCAGCTGGGCTGGGGCGGCCCTCGCCCCCCAGTACCTGCTCTGTCATTCTTCCGACTCAGCCTTGCCAAGCAGTGTGGGCATCTATCTCCCTGCAGGGCCCTGAAACGGAGAACGGGGGACATCTTTTCACAGCAAACTTGCTGTTGTGTCTCAGCGAGGTTCTGTGTTCACACATTACGCTCATTTGTACAGATGGATGACCTGTTTTCCTGTTGCAGAGGTACGCCTGTGGGTCCTTTATACAGACTGGTGACACCATCTAGCCTACGCACTGGCCTCCCCACCCCCGCAACAGCGTCTCTGAGGAGCGGAAGTGCTTCATGTTGACGACATGGGTTTCTCCGTTTTCTGTGGATCCTCTTTTTGGAGTCAGGGCGCTGCCGTCTTCTTTGAGAGTACGTCTCTTTTACGGAAGTCTCCCGAACTACCAGCCTCATCAACTTCCTCCCCGCGAACGATGCTCCAGGGTGGCCGCCTGGGTTACCAACTTCAGGCTCCCTCTGGGCCTGACAGTGAGTGGTCCGGAACAGAGGCTCTGCTCCATCCGAGCTGACCATCCTGCCCCTGTGACACAAAGGCCACCTTCAGGGCCTGAACTCTCAGACCAGACAGGCGCAGGGCTCCCAGAAAGGTGGCTAGCAGCTGGAAGGCGTGCAAGGACCTGTGGGGGTGTAAGCGCCTGGGCCGTGCCCAGTGGTGGGAGGGGTGAATTAGAGAGGCTGGGAGGCAAGGGGTCTGCACTGAGGGTAGACGAAGTCAGAGAGACTTGGTCCTTGCCAGGTGGGGGTACCCAATCGAACACACCAGCCCCATGACCTTCCAGCGGGACTCCCCAGAAGCAGTCTACCTCAGTGCTGGCTGGGAGAGGTAGCTCTGACACCCAAACCAAGCAATCCCCTGCCTCTCATGCCCTGGGGAGGACCCTAGGCACAAAGTGAATCCGTGTGGGGGGACATGGCACAGCACGGATGACGGTGGCAACCTGAGGGTGCACAGACGGCATGAGGGGGCTCAGAGGCCTTCTGCGACCGGGCCCACCTCTCAGGCCTTCCCATCCGGCAGAGAGCAGTGAGGCAAACGGATGGGGTCACTGGCTGTGACAGGAGCACACAGGGACCTGCCCATCAATGCCTCTCTGGAGAGGGCGGAGCCTGGCTGGAGCATAAGCCCTGTTCCCCGCATCCACTGTATACAAGCTGGGTCTGGGGCTTCTCGACATTTCTCACAACCACGGCCCCCTTCCTTGTTCCACCTGATACCACTGTGCAGAGCCAACTGGCCTGCTGGTTTACCGCCGCACCCACAAGGCCCTCACATCCTCAGTGGTCTACCTGGGTATCCCCGGCAATCCCTTCCAGCCCCAGTGGCGTATGAGAGTTTTCCAAAGCTCACACTTTCCCCCCGGAAGTTGTCCACTGCAATGAGTGACACATCTTGCCCACGGATTTCCTGCCAGGGACAGGTTTGCAGCTAGTTTCTGAGTCTGAGCCCCCGGGCGAGCAGGGGCCAGATCCCACACACCCAAGCCCCCCAATCCAAGACCCAAGCTCTCCTCAGAGAAGGGCAGGGTCGAACCTGACCCATAAATGCTCTTCTCCTCTGTGAGGGATGCTCCTGCCTGTGGCCTGAGGCTGGACTCAGGCCTGCAGATGGCGCAGTTAGGGTTCCTGGCTCCCAAGGGGGCACGGGGTTCTGAGGCAGACTGATACAGACCCAAGATCCTCAAAAGCAACACCCACCACCTTGTCTGTGCTTCCAAAACCCTCACAGCTCAGGATGGGCACCTGATGGCCGCTGGCTGCCAAGTTCACTGGTCTGACCAGCAAAGCGCAGCTGGTGGTGACTCCGTGGGGGCTCAGCCCACCCCAGCCC